CCCCCTGGATCTGCTCCCATCCCACTCCAGACCCACCCCACCCCCTCAGACCCGCCCCAGCCCCCCAAAACCTCCCCCAGCCCCCTGGCAATGCCCCCCGCTGGCTGTGCCCGCTCAGGCTGGGGCGGTACCGGCGGGCACGCAGCCTGGCACTGCGCAGCAGCAGCTCTGCCCTGTACAACAACCTGGCCGTGCTGTGCCCCCCCGGGCGGGCCCCGGCCTTCGGAGCCGTGCACGGCACCACCCTCAGCCTGCTGGGCACCGAGGGGCACCCCCGGCAGCTGCAGGCCCGCGGAGGGGGCTCTGCCCTCAGCACCCCCCTGCTGACACAGGTGAGGCACGGGGAGAGGATGGGCAGGGGCCTGTGGCAGCGGGCGGGGGGTGGGACACAGTCCTGGCACCTCCCTGGCACCTCTCTGGAACCAGGCAGGGGAGGGGACACAGCCCTGGTGACACAGCCTTGGCATCGGGCAGGGGATGGGACGTGGCCCTGGCACCTCCGTGGCACCTCCCTGGCACCAGGCAGGGTGGGGAGACACGGCCCTGACACCAGGCAGGGGATGGGACATGGCCCTGGCACTGGGCAGGGTAGGGGACACAGCCCTGGCACCTCCTTGGAACCAGGCAGGGTGGTGGGACATGGCCCTGGCACTGGGCAGGGTAGGGTACATGGCCCTGGCACCTTCCTGGCACCTCTCTGGCACCGGGCAGGGGCTGGGATACAGCCCTGGCACCTCCCTGGCACATCCCTGGCACCGGGCAGTGTGGGGGGACATGGCCCTGGCACCTCCCTGGCACCAGGCAGGGTGGGGGGACACAGCCCTGGCACCTCCCTGGTGCCCGACAAGGTGGGGGACATGGCCCTGGCACTGTGCAGGGGGCGGGACACAGCCCTGGCACCTCCCTGGCACCTCCCTGGCACTGGGGGAGCCCCCTGAGGGCTCTGGGGGAGTTTGGGGGGGTCCTGGAAGCCAGCAGGGACTGAGCTGAGGGAACATCGAACAGAGCTGGGGCAGGGCAGGGGGGTCTGGGGGCTCCGGGAGGAGACTGGGGAAGGGTTTGGGGGCTCCAGGAGGAAATTTGGGGGCTCCTGTTCCAGGGGGAGGAGTTTGGGGTGCTCTAGGAAGAGATCTGTGGGCTCCAGGAGGGGTTTGAGAGGCTCCAGGAGGGGTTTGGGGATTTCTGTTCCAGAGGTTGGAGTTTGGGGGGGCTCCAGGAGGAAACTGGGGGGCTCCTGTTCCAGGGGTAGGAGTTTGGGGTACCCTAGGAAGAGATTTGGGGGTTCCTGGAGGGGTTTGAGAGGCTTCAGGAGGGGTTTGGGGGGCTCCAGGAGGGGATTCGGGAGGCTCCTGTTCCAGGGGGAGGAGTTTGGGGTGCTCTAGGAGGAGATTTGGGGGTTTCAGGAGGGGTTTGGGGATTTCTGTTCCAGGGGTTGGAGTTTGGGGGGCTCCAGGAGGGGACTGGGGGGCTCCTGTTCCAGGAGGAGGGGATTTGGGGCTCCAGGAGGGGTTTGGGGTGCTCCAGGATTGGTTTGGGGGGCTCCAGGAGGAAACTGGGGGGCTCCTGTTCCAGGGGTTGGAGTTTGGGGTGCTCCAGGAGGGGATTGGGGGGTTCTTGTTCCAGGAGGAGGGGATTTGGGGTGCTCCAGGATTGGTTTGGGGGGCTTCAGGAGGAAATTGGGGATTTCTGTTCCAGGGGTTGGAGTTTGGGGGACTCCAGGAGGGGTTTGGGGGGGCTCCTGTTCCAGGGGTTGGAGCTTGGGGTGCTCCAGGAAGAGATCTGGGGGCTCCAGGATGAGATTTGGGACCTCCTGTTCCGGGGTGAGACTTGGGGACACCCCACAGGGAGGGTTTGGGGGGCTTCAGGAGGGGATTTTGGGGTTCCCCAGGGGAAGACCCACGGGAGGGGGGGTGGAGGGAGATTTTGGGGTCCCTCAGCGTCCCCCCCGTGTCCCTCGCAGGCCGCGTGGTGCGAGCTCCCGTGGCGGGTGCTGCTGGTGCTCACATCCCAGCGCGGGGTCCAGGTGAGGCCTGGGGGTGGGGGGGGACATTTGGGGGTCCCCTTGTCACCCCCAGAGTGTGGGGGGTCCCCTGGTCACCCCCAGGGTGTCCCAGCCTGTCCCTCCGTGGCAGATGTACGAGGCTGATGGCTCCACCATGGTGTTCTGGCACGCGCTCGACGTCCCGGAGCTGCCAGCAGGTCAGTCCCTCCGTGTCCCCCAGGCCACCACTGCCGTGTCCCCAAGTGCCATACGCACTGGGCTGGTCAGTCCCCACCAGGGATGGAGATTCCAGCATTTTCCAGGAAGGAATTTTGCCAATATTCAAATTAAACCTCCCCTGGCACAGCTCTCATCCTGTTCTGTTCCCTGGTTGTCCTCTCCTACAACTGGGAGCTCTTCCTTCTCATTCTGTCCCCTGTTCCCTGGTTGTCCCTCCTTTCCTAGAGGGGTCCCCACTGGTAAATCCCCCCCAGGGATGGAAATTCCAGCCTTTTCCAGGAAGGAATTTTGCCAATGTCCAAGCTAAAGCTCTCCTGGGGTTCTCCTCCCCCAAACTTGGGGCTCTTCCTTCTCGTCCTGCCCCTTGTTCCCTGGCTGTCCCCTCCTGTCCTTGTAGGGGTCCCCACTGGTAAATCCCCCCCAGGGATGGAAATTCCAGCCTTTTCCAGGCAGGAATTTTGCCAATGTCCAAGCTAAACCTCCCCTGGCACAGGTCTCATCCTATCCTGTTCCCTGGTTGTCCTCTCCTACAACTTGAGGCTCTTCCTTCTCGTCCTGCCCCTTGTTCCCTGGCTGTCCCCTCCTGTCCTTGTAGGGGTCCCTGTTGGTAAATCCCCCCCAGGGATGGAAATTCCAGCCTTTTCCAGGCAGGAATTTTGCCAATATTCAAATTAAACCTCCCCTGGCACAGCTCTCATCTTGTCCCTTGTTCCCTGGTTGTCCCCTCCTTTCCTTGTAGGGGTCCCCACTGGTTAATAATTAGCATTGATTCTATGATTGTAGCAGGTCGGTTAATTGTTTTATTGCATTATACTATATTCTACTAACTACACTTTAATAGACAGTCTGATGCATTCTTTGAAAAATCTAAACACTATCACTAGCATCTAATTAAGAAATCACTTTTTGGTAACCAAATCTCTGTAACACGTTCCACATGTGCACAACAGGTGCAGCAAGTGAAGACAAAAATTGTTTCTCCTTTTCTCTGAGCTTTCTCACAGCTTCCCAGGAAAATCCTGGGAAAGCTGTGTCCGTCTGTCCAGAGGATCTGTGACTGCCACACCCTCCTGCCAGGGAGCTGTGCAGAGCCACGAGGTCCCCATTTGTCCAACCCCTGTGTCAAACTTGAAAAACCTTCCTCCAAATCCATTTCCCACAGCCCCTGACCCCCCTTTTCTCCAGGCTGAGCCCCTTCCCTGGTTCATGGACACCAACTCCTCGAGATCTTCACGTGACAAACCCAACCCTGTGCCAGGACCGGGGTGTGACCCCCGGGACAGGAACCGGGGGTGACACAGAGCTGTTCCCTTCCAGCACATTCCGTCTTCGCCCGGGGCATCGCCGCGGCCGGCGGCCGCTTCGTCTGCGTGGGTGAGCCTGGGCCGTGGGCAGGCTGCTGGCCCTGGGCTGGCCCAGCCCTGCTCACCCCCTGACCCCACAGGGACGTCCTTCGGGGCCGTGCTGGTGTTTGACATCCCCCCAAAAGGGACCAACGTGACGCTGAGCGAGGTCCTGGAGCAGCACCGGGATCCCGTCACCGACATCGCGGCCGAGCAGGGCCGGGCCCCGGTACGGGGAGAGAGGGACACCCCAAATCTCTTCAGTCCCACAGGGACCCTTCTGCTCTCCCAGGTGGCTCCATCCTGGCCTTGGACACTTCCAGGGATCCAGGAGCAGCCTCAGCTTCTCTGGATAGCCTGTGCTTCCTTCCCAAAATCCTAGCCAAATCTGCTCTTCTCCAGTGGGAAGCCGTGCCCTGCGTCCTGTCACGCCATCTTTTGTCCCAAATTCCTCCCATCTCTCCTGGAACCTCCTTAGGCACTGGGAGTTCACAGGGCAGGTCCCTGCAGACTCAGCAGCCACTTCCCTCCCACTCAGCACTTTCCCCGATGAGTCACTGAACTTTCCTTGCTCTGGGATGCCCAAGGGATTCATCCCCCACATCCCATTCCCGAGCTGCCGTGTCACCGTGGGGACAACGGAGCTGCCGTGGCACTTCCCGCTGCCGCCCGTCCCCTCACACACCCCCTGGACTTCGCTCCGAGGGTTCCCTGGGACATTCCCAGGAGCTGGGAATCCTCACCGAGGGAGGGGTGCCCTGATTCTTCCTCGAAATCCGCCCTGGCGTGGCAGCGTGGGCAGAGACGAGTTCCAGCGGAGCCGCCCACGGGCACTCCCAGCCCCGCTCCGGCCGGGACCCGTCAGCGCTTCAGGAGCTGTTCCAGCTTGTCCTGACGCCCATGGGACTGTGCCCAGTGCCACCCCAGAGCTGGGGACAGCGCCCAGAGCTGGGGACAGTGCCATCTCTCCCCACAGGACGGGGCTGGGGACCTGGTGACGGCCGATGACTCCGGGACCCTCTGCCTGTGGAGCAGCGGGGAGGAGTTCACCCTGCTGGGGAAGATCCCGGGATCTGGGTGAGCGCCGGGGATCCTGCAGGGTGTTGGACACGAGGGAGGGACACCCCTGAGGTGGTGACACGTGGCCCTGTGTCCAGCTGCTCCTGCTCCTCGGTGGCGCTGTGGAACGGGGTCGTGGCTGCGGGCTATGGGGACGGGCAGATCCGGCTGTGGGATGCGGGCTCGGGGCGGATCCGTGCCCAGGTGAGCGCCCACGCCCGCTGGATCTACGCGCTCGACCTGGCGCCGCTCACCGGCAAGGTACGGAGGGGACGGGTCACACCTGGTGCCACACCTGGTGTCACACCTGGAGTCACACCTGGAGTCACACCTGGAGTCACACCTGGTGCCACACCTGGAGTCACTCCTGGAGTCACACCTGGAGTCACACCTGGCACCGCACTCAGCATCCCACACTGACATCCTGCCCAGTATCCCACCCTGACATCCACCTGGCATTCCAACCTGAAATCCCAACGTGGCATTCCAACCTGAAATCCCAACGTGGCATTCCATCTTGACATCCTACCTGGCATTCCAACCTGGTATTCCAACCTAAAATCCCAACCTGGCACTCCAACTTGAAATCCCAACCTGGCATTCCATCCTGACATCCTACTTGGCATTCCAACCTGAAATCCCAACCTGAAATCTCAGCCTGGCATCCCACCTTGAATTCCAACCTGCATCCCACCTGGCATTCCAACCTGGCATCCCACCTTGAATTCCAACCTGAAATCCCAACCTGCATCCCACTCTGGCATTCCAATCTGCCATCCCCACCCCAGTATCCCACCTGGCATTCCAACCTGAAATCCCATCCTGGCATCCCACCTTGAATTCCAACCTGAAATCCCAACCTGGCGTTCCACCCTGACATCCACCTTGAATTCCGACCTGAAATCCCAACCTGGCGTTCCACCCTGACATCCACCTTGAATTCCGACCTGAAATCCCAACCTGGCATTCCACCCTGACATCCCACTTTGAATTCTCCCACCTGGCATTCCAACCTGAAATCTCACCCTGACATCCCACCTGGCATTCCATCTGCAATCCCACCCCAGTGTCCCATCCTGCCGATGGCCCTGCCACCTCCGTGCTGTCCCCACCGTCCCCCTCTCCCCTCGCAGCTGCTGTCGGGTGCAGAGGATTCCTTTGTCCACGTCTGGAAGCTCAGCCGGGACCCGGACACCGATGACATCGAGGTGAGTCCGGGCTTGGGGCACGGCCGCGGGACTTGGAGCCGCGGGGGACAAAAGGGACCGGGACCGTGGCCCCGGGAGCTGCGGAAACGCTGGGATCGCTCCGGGGCCGCTCCCGCCGCAGGTGCGGCACTGCCACGCCGAGTGCGTGACGGACACGCAGGTTTGCGGCGCCCGCTTCTGCGACCCCGCCGGCGACACCTTCGCCGTCACCGGCTACGACCTGAGCGAGATCCTCTGCTACGGCCCCGCCTGAGGCGGGGCTGGCGGCGATACCGGCGGCACCGGGAATGCCGGTATGCCCCGGTGTGAGCACAGACCCCCGTGGGGATGTGTGGGGGCAGCCCGGCCGGGATCCCCGACTGCCCGAAGCCCTCCCGAGGGCTGGGAGCTGCTCCGGCATCCCCGAGGGGATCCTCCCACCGGCTCCGGGATCCTCCCGTGGCTCCCGCCCTTCCCGGAGGGTGGCGTGGCTGGGAACGGGCCCGGTTCAGACGGGAGGATCCCGGGAAACCTGCGCTACCTGCTGCTCCGGCCGGGAGAGCCCCGAGCCCAGCCCTGCAGCATCTGCCAGCCGCGGCGACTGGGGAGGGGAAAAAAGGGGGACATGGGGGGATCCTGCATCCCAACCCCCCACAGATCCCAAATCCCCACGGGATGCTGCAGTCCCGTGGCCGCTGGCCAGATGTTTGAGACCCCAGCTGTGCTCCGGGGCTGGAAAAGGCAGCAGCAGCTGCAGCGGGACCCCAGGGACGTCCCCAGGTCCCCTCCACCCATGGGAGCTGAGGTGACCCCAGGCTCTGCTCCCAGGGCCCTGCGAGGGGGGAATGGGGGGCTCAGCTTGGGACAGACCCTGAGGTAGGGGAACCCCCCCAACCTCACCCCTCCTGCCGTGCCGGGGATCTCCCCCACCCACAAATGACCCCCCCACCCTCTATGTCCCACTCGTGTCCCCTCAACGCGTGGGTTGGGCCGCCCCACCCCCCAATAAATACACCCCAGTGAAGCCCCCCCCTCATCACTCCTTCCTGGGGGGCAGGGCTCGCTGTTTGGGGGGCACGGCAGGATCGGGGGGGGGCTCACAGAGTCCGGCTCCGTTACAAAAAGCTTTATTAAAGGTTAAAACAGCCGCTGCTGAGGTGGGGAATGGGGGGGGCCCCGAAGCCTGGGCGGGGGGCCCCCGCTGTGCTCCTGGGGTAAAAAAGTGTAAAAACGGTTGTGCAGTTCAGCCCGGGGGCGGGGACGGTGCTTCCCCCGACCCCACTCCGGGGTGGGGACACATCCCGGGGACAGCGACAGTGGCACGGCCCGGGACAGGGACAGTGACAACCCCCCCGGGACACGGCCAAGGCACAGAGATGAGCCGGGGGCTCTCGCAGCCACACAAGCACCCAGGGACCCCCTCCCCGCGCCCACCCCCCACCCACCCCGCCCTGCTCACAGCTTGGCCCCCCCCCCCGCCCCACGGTGGGGGAGGGAAAATACAGCACCAGAGAGCCCTACGGGGGTGGGGACCCCCCCCAGAAAAGAAAGGGGGAGCGGCAGAGCCCCCGCTCCCCGCGCGCCCCCAGCCCCAAATACTGCTCGGTCAGAGGTAGCACCAGCGGTGGTGGGGAGCCCTGCCGGGGGGAGGCCCCCCCGCACGACCCCCTCCCCACCGGGGAAGGGGGGGGTGGGACCGGGGCGGGGCTCCCCCCCGGCAGAGCCTGTAAACAGCCAGGGTGGGGGGGTAAACAAGCCCTTGGAAGACCCCC